TGGGGAGGTAAGGCACTTTAGCTGGGCCATGGATGCAGAGTAGAAGCAAAGAGCAGTGAAAGATGAGAGAGAGTGTGTTCTGAGGGTGCATAAAGGGCAAATGTCTGGAGGTCAGCACTGTGAGACTCAAGCACCAACCTAAGACTCCTCGTTACTTCCTTGGTTCTGCCCAGTGAGGTGATTGGAGCTTCCCACTCTGCCTGACACAGGAAATCAGCAGGCAGTGTGCAGTGGCAGTGGCGAGGTACACTTCTCCAGCTTGTTCTGGCAACTCTGCTTCATACCACATAGCTCCTGTGGGTTTATCCTGTGACATCTCATGTGGGCTCAGTGCCCAGGCTGTGGTCCCAGCACTTACCTGCACGGCCCAGCAGCGCCATCCCCCAAATCCAAGGGCAGAAGCAAGCTCCCGTGCTTGCACAACGTGATGCAAAGCCTCAAACACAAGTAACCCTGGGCAGCTGGGTAGATTTCCCTCTGCTCTTCTGGCCCCACAAGTTGCTACATTCTAAGGCCCCTTGTAGGCAGGTTAATTTTGATACATACACTTCTCTTTTGTCAGTGGATTAAGAAGCCCAAGTGCAAAATCTGCTTAACTGTACTCTTGTAGAATATTTGCTGTAGCAAAGGACCATCATTAGGGGATAATTCAGCCTCCCACTCCTTCCTGCGATGGCTAGTGAAGGAGCCAAGGGCAACATCCTAAATTCAGTGTTTTATGTAAGTGCCTAAATCAGGTGACATTGACCCTGACCTGATTTGATACATTAGCAGGACTTTTTTTTTTTTTTTTTTTTGCATTGGAACTGTGAGGACTGAATATGTATCAAAATACTGCAATTGGTTATTTTGAGACAAGGGCAATGTTTTTAACTAAACATACTCATCTGAAATACATTATATGAACAGAACCAAAGGATGGTAATCAGTGTTACAGCCATGCGCTACGGTGAAGGCAACACTCACTTCCAGGCTGAAGCCCATTTAAACATCCTCAGGTCTCCCAAAGGAGTCAGTGACCTCTGATGCCTTGGACCTCCAGTCTGTAGTTTTTTAAAAGCTGAACTGATAAATATTTTAGTTTTCAAAGTGTAGGTGTGAAAGAGCAGAAGCAACCAAAGCACTCAGGTCCCTTTGTATTGACAGGCCTATTTTAATCCCACAGGTCAGCCTACAGCATTTAACTGACAGCTTTGAACCTGCAAGAAAAAAAAAGGACCTTGAAAAGATCTGGTTTACAGGTCTAAGCTGATGAGATATAGCAGCCAGGATCATCTTACATTTTTGTGAAGTTATTTAGACAGCTCGAGCTGTTAGCCAGACTGCAATGAAGTCAGTAACGTAGAAAGTAACGCAGAAAACACATTCTCCCATTGAGAATATGGAGTTCATGCTGTTAGTATGCAGAGCTGGATTAAATTCAAGAGCTGCTGCAGTCATATTGGCTTTGCTTCCAAACATCACAATTTTGGAAGTTTCCTTCCAACAGTCTAGCAGATGTCATGTCTAACACATGTAGGCACCTTCAGATGAACAAAGTCTCACAGAAGATGGGCTTCAGTGTGGTGCAAATACCACCTGGATAGTCAGCTGGGTGCACCTGAGTCGATCTCCAAAGTTCCTCTAGAGACCCATTCTGGGTGTACTGAAGAGTACATAACAGTAACAAAGAAGGGGAGAAGGCACCAGGACAAGAGGCTGTCGGAGCCAATAGGTGTTGAGCCCCTCTCTACAAGCAAGTTCTGTCACTGCCAATGCAGCTGTTTTCCTCTCTCCCAAAAACTCACCTGTTTGTCAGTGCATCAAGAATGGCTATAGAAGCATGTGCAGCCAGAAAAAAAAACGCAAATTCCTCCTTTGTCTCGTCTCTCTGCCTTATTAAGGTTACCAGGCATAATGTGTTACTACATATCAGCAGAGCCTGGGTGATGGCACCAAGGACAAACACAGTTAATAGCAAACCCAAGATAAGATACATTGACTCAAGCCTCAGTGATGCAGGTTTAAACTAATCCAGTTAACCTGGAATTTGCAGTAGGTAAGAAGCATACGTGCAGGTAATCGTTGCACCTCACCTCACACACCTTAAGCTGTGGCAATACATCTGCTTAGTCTAAGCTGCTCGTTTCCATTTCTGGGTGCATGGCATTGGCACGACAGTGCTGAGACTTTCTGAATTCAAATTCAGCATTACAGCACAAGACTGAGGTCAAAATAAGGATTAAAAAGTCAGCCATGCCCATTAGGACAATGCAGTCTCCAGAAATGTTCAGTTGCAGAAACTTTTCCAGCACTGCATTTCTCAGGGCCATATGTAATCAGATGATAAACTTAAATTATAAGCATACTCCAGCAAAATGACATCTACATTAGTGCCTTTCTTCTGACACAGCAAGATGTTCAAAACTGAACATAAACTGGAGGGAATTCAGATAAATAGCTCCACAAAAGACACTCCCAGATTTTGCAGTTGATGATCTCCAGAACTGCTGTATAAGCAAGAAGTCTCCACCTGTTCATACACAAATAAGATTAAAAAACCCAAGCAGATGGTGACTTAATCCTCAACTCCACCACCAACTGACAGTAGACAAAATGAGGAACACGCCTTGCTTTAAACCTTTGCTTGTAATGGAAAAATCTTCAAATGTGGGTGTCTGTAAGGACAAAATACTGCCATTCCAAAGTACTGTACTAATTTAGTGATTTCACTCAATAAAGGGAAATATCCAACTTTCAATACTGATTACAGGCACAGGGTATTCAACAGGATCAAGCAACATGAGAAACATGAACAAATTAAGTGGAAAACTCATGCCCAATGCCTCAAACAGTCCAACCTGAGGAACAGAGGTGCAATAATAATAATGGCCAGTCTTCGCAAGCGAAGATCCGGGGAAGGTCTTTCCACCTTCCAGCCTGCGCATTGGATTTTTTAGGTGAGACACAGTGTGCGCGGAACTGAGCCCACCCTTTAATCCTAAGGTTCATCTGCCGGGGCCAAGCGAGCTTGGACGGTGGCAGCGAGGTCCTTAGGACATAGATGGATTACCTTTACAGGGTTAACGAGCTCCCTCTGCCCGGGGAATGTCCCTGACTGGGAATCGAACCCAGGCCCTTACCACTAGACCACCAGGGGCTCCCACAGCGGTGCAAACAGCTGTCCATTTCCCCCTTCTCGTGATCACTTGAAGTGGCCTCCTCTGAAACTCGTGGTTTGCTTAACCCATACAAAGTCAGGGTACTCTGCCTTCAGGATGGTATCATGCACCATTCACCACTACTGACCATTGTTCATGCTAACAACAAGTATTAAAATGTAGAAAACCAGCCAAAACTGCCGTTGCTATTCAAGCAGTTTTAAAAACATGCCTTATGCAAATGATGTTTCTTAAAAGAAAAGCACAAGCTTGTCTCTGCTGTCCTGGTTCCTCTTCCCTCCGCTCCTGCTGAAAGGCACAGCATGTCTACATTTAGCAGCAAGTCCTATGCCAGCCAGAAGAATCCCTGTGCTGGCTTTGCACAGCAACACATCCCTTCACTTCTGGGATAGGGGAGGAGGGCCAGGCTCCCCTCTCAGTTTCACAGAGGCAGCAAAAAGGAATATTTGCTTCTGTGTGTTTACAGTGTAATAGCAGTGAATTTCCACTTCTAAATAAAGAGTTTCCTGCAATGCAGGAGCCTATGAGAAGGGCCCAGAGCAAGCAAAAAGCGCATCACTGTCTCAAACCTGAGTCATCCCACCTTCCTTCACCGATCTGATAGTTAACCTACAGCAAACATGAACCTTCAGTTTACTCCACTCCTATTCTAAGGGACAATTTACCAATGGAATCTGAAGTAGGAGATGCTAAAAGGAGTTTTTAGTCCTCAAAAAACACACTCCACCACACACCCCTCCACTTGACATTGCCCTTCTACCTAAAAGAAGGAAAAAACCCACACAGCTACATCAAGGTTATTTCAGACAGATTAAAATGTACCAAGTTCAAAATTTCTTTCTTACCAATGAATGAAATAGAAAACAATCATATGGTATTTAATAAACCCAAGTGTTTTCATCAAATTTTAGGAAATCTGAAAACCAAGAGATGGATCTGCACCATTCTTACAGCATTCCCATTAGGAAATACACAGTAGGTTTTCTCCAAATTGCAGAAGGCAGGTCCAAATCTATCCTTTAAAGTCCCCTGAGCTGTGCCACAGGTACATACACACTCCAGACACATGCAAAGATAACAGACCAAGGGGGTACAATAACTGAACCACTTATGCAACTGCTCATGAGACTGTTTTGGTCAAAATAAGAGCTGGAGTTCAAAAGAGCCCAGCTCACGTGGTCTGAGCAGACAGGAAAGCAACTGTATGCACAGCTCAGGCAGCAGAGCCAGGTGTAAAGCCTGCAGCAGCTGGATGAGAGGTCACAATGACATCTCCAGTGCCTAATGCATATGGAAAGAATCAGATTCTTGTGAAAATCCAGGTTAACCATCCCTCTTTCAGCAGAACACTGATGCCCAGGAAGTCTTTTTAGAGTGCTTGACTGTTTTGGACCCAAGGGTCTGTTATCAGAAACACTCAGACACTTAACTATTTTCTTGGTGCTACAGGACCTCCATATCTTTAAACTGATGGGCCAAACATCTGACCTCCTAACTAGTCCTTTATGTCAAAGGGTCTGCAATTTTAAAGCTAGCTTTTATATAAGGTTTAAAATAGGTGTTATTGTCCAAATCTCTAACACCTCACTGTTACTGATTTGTATTAAAGCAAATCTGAGGAAACAGTTTGACCAGTTTTATTATTTTTCCAGTTGCATTAATTTTACATAGTATAAAATTCGCTTATTTAAGCAATCATAAAACCATCATAACAAATTTTGCCAGTCAGGAAATGCACCTTTATCGAGATATTTTAAAGCATGTTGTTTTCAATAAGAGTTTAATTTGTACTTATGTTTCAGAGTTGTCATGTACATAGGAAGCTTCCAGACATCCGGATTCCAGTTCAGAATTTATTTGCATATAAAAATATATTATCATGGAAAAAAGCATTAAAGTTCTCAACTATATAAAATTACAAATATATTTGCATAAAAGCAACTTTAAATTACAATTTAAACTATATTTTAAAGCAAAATACAGTTGTAACATTTAAATTATCTTATTCCATCTGCTGCAACATAATTGGTATTGCCACAGTTAAATATTTGTAGGAGTTTACAAAGGTTACGTGCAGAAGGTGAGTATCTTGGGGAGCAAAGTTACCAGACAAGGGCAGCAGTTCTCAGGGATTGATGTCACTTATCCTTCAGAGGACACCCACAGGCAAGCACAGTGCCAAAAATTGATTTTACATACCTGAAAATAAAAAAGAAAGATCATTACATTCTATATTAAATAAGATTGCATGCTGTTGACATACCAGACACCCATCTACACCCAGGTTGTTAGACTGCCTGACAAGCCAAATTATGCCTTTTTTAAATTAACATGAAAGCTGAAACGCTAGTGTGCAAAAATATAAGACAAGTACTAACAAGTGCCTTAGGCTTGAAAAGGTATCTGTACCAAGTTCTGTGTAACCTCAAGCATATAAATACAACTCCTCAAAAATGTGACGATATAAAATATCAAATGGAAGTTGGACCTCCTACTCACTGTACAAGTGAGACTCTAGAGATTTGCTTAGTTGGTATTAAAAAAAAATGACAACAACAACAAAACCAAACAAAAAAACCACACACAAAAACCAAACCAAAACAAACCCAAACCAGAACAAAACAAAACCGCTAAAACACTAGAGCAGGTGGTAGTTTCTGCCTCATCTTTGATGTGCCTTGCAAGGGAAAAATGAAATCTATGTACTATAGGCAGCCCCTCAAAACTTAGCTGCAACATGGCTGTGCAAGATACAGTAATGTAAATACGTACTGGTTTGGGGTTTCATTGTCCTACACAAACCTTCAAAAACTCAGATTTTTTTTCTTTTTTCAGAAAAGCAGTCAATTAAATCTCAGAGGGAAAGATGGAGCTACCTGAAGTATATATCCATGATACAAGACAGAAAACTAGAAATATATTTTAAGTAAGAGAAGTGAAACCAGGATTCAGATACAAGTAAGACAGCAAGGAAGTAGGAAACTCATAAGGGCAGGTGTCTTAATTTAAGGCCAGGTCTTCAAGAAATACATGGAAGGGAAAATACCTAATGAATACATGAAACTCTCAGTTCAGAGTTTGAGAGGGCTTTGTTTATGCTGCTATTTAAGTCTAGTCCTACAATTTGTTGGTTTGGGCTGTGTAGCTTAGCTGCACACAAAACAAACAAATATATCAAAACAAGACAAAAACATGTTTTATGTCCACAACAGCAGGGGAAGAAGCAAAAAGACTAGGCAGAGTACATGGCTGGTAATAGGTTGCCAGTTTGGGGGGTTTTTTTGTTTTGTTTTCCTTTAAAAATCATAATGAAGAATCCATTACTATATCTGGAAGATAAAATTTCTAGACAGTGAGAGAAAATGTGATCTAAATTCCATTCCTGGTAAAGACAAGCACAAAAAGGATTTTGACATTTAGTTTAAGTGAATAGATACAGTTTTCTGGCTCCTCAATTCTTTCATAAAGCAAAGTCCAGAATAGAAAGGTTTTCCTCACCTCCTGTTATTTAACTTTATAACGAAGGAACAAATCCCCACATTTTAGCTGAGTTTTGGATATTCAGGAAAGTGATGTTTACTTCATCTGTACACTGACAAGGAATGGTGAAATGCAGCTGCCTCATAGGCGGAGACAGGTTCCTTGAGTTCAGCCTTGGTCACACAAGCTAAACTGCATGCCTTGAACATTCAGGCAAAGATCAGAATTTAGTCTGTTTCACCTTCTTATGCCCAATGATTCATAGGACTAGCAAACTAGAATGAAACTGTACCCTATAAACTATTTCTATTTTTCCCTTGGCCATTGGCTCTCATCACTCTTTCACAATACCAACTGACATGCAACCTACTAATAAAAATCCACTTACTTGCTAGTGTTCTGTCAAGGTCAGCAATGAAGTCCTCCAGTTCTTTTGTGTCTCCAAGCTTTGCTGCAAAATAAGAGCCAATACTGCTTAGACATGATATATTTCTTTGGCTAGAAGAAACACCGGAACCACAAAATCCTCCAAATCATTTTCAGTGGTAACTAACATGCTGTGGATTATTGTCAGTCAAACTCAGTAGGGTTGCTGCAATGTCCAAACACAGGGGAGACTGAATTGAAATTCTAGCTTTTGTAGTTTTCCATTGCACAGAAGCAACACAAAGCAATCCCTTGTTTAGTTTCCTTTAAAAGCAGAGCTTAAAGTGAAGAAAAAAAGCTATGTGTCAAGTAATCCACATCCTTGGTACTGCGGGCATCTTCCTCATTTCATCTATTCAGATACCCTATGCATGGTGCTAATAAAACCCCAGCCAATTAGTTGCCAATCCAACTCAAATCTCAGTCTCCTAAAATTATGTCAGTATCGCTGGTTTGCTGTGCTGTCAGATCCTTCGATCTCAGTTCATACACCGTGAATTTGGAACCGAACATCCACCTAAGTTTTCACTCCTGAGAACACCACTGGTTCCATTCAATCTAGTTTCACTGCAAGTGGCTTATCTTTCTCATCTTCATTTCTGTGGTCTATTCCAAGCCCGTTCCAACTCTATTTCTGTCTTTGTGTCTTCTCAACAGGAAGAACATCTTGACCTTTGGTGTAATTCCTTGTCAAGTATTTCCTTTCAGTTTAACTGAACTCTTTTGGGACTTCATATTAACTATTACTCATTATTTCTCCCTGGTATCATGCTAATTGAAAAGAAAGCATTTAACTTGTTTTTTTTTTTTGTGACTTGTCAATGTGGAAAAGACATGAAAGCATGAAAGGCTATTGAACATTCATATGAGAAGACTAGCTGCAATGAAAACACCATGTAGTACCTACGTATGAGTGTTCATTTATTGATGTGTCTGCTCCAGAGTTAATCCAAGTTTACCTGAATGAAACACGGTCATGGGAAGTTAAATCAGCTGCAAGACAGAAGCCACTTTGAAACAGCATAGCTCCAAAGGAGGAAGGAATTACTAATACATGGCTCGTATCAGCAGTGCAAAGGTCTATATGGATGTGGGCAATTGTGTTAACTTAAATGGCAGCATACGGCTTTGGAGGAGTCCCTCTATCCCTGCATTCAGTCTAAGTGTTTTTATAGCAGGTGGGACACAAGCTACTTAGTTGCTTCAGCAAAGAAGTAACTAATTCATACTATAACTGTTCTGTAAGTATTACAACTAATCTTCATCAGGCAGAAAACTGTAATTTTCTTTAGCTCGTGTTTCAAAGCCAAAAAAGAGCTGCCAGTTCACCTGCAAAGAAGTGCAGATACAGCAACCTACCGCCACTTATAACCCAGACAATAAGACTTGGATCTGAAGTGTGTTTCAACACTAATCCTTAGTTTTGTTAACATAAAAAAGAAAAAAGTCCATGCAAGCATGAATCCTGGCTCACAGAAAGAAGTCCATATAGTTGAGGAAGAAAATGCCAACAGTTAAAAATAAGCTTACCTTTACATGGAGTTACAGATGGAGATGGCAAGCTTGGAGTAGATGCAGTTGAAGAGTTGAGCTTTTCATCACTGAGACTGAAACTATTTCTGTAGAGTGAATCTGCACCTGCAAAAAAAGTAACATTATAAAGCAAATTTAACACCTGCAATTTTGAAATATAATTGAAACCAGAAGCGGGGCCTTCCCTGTATGTTCTGTTGAACTCAAATTAACAGACTTCAAAATCAGAGGAATAAATATATAAATTCTGTGTTGTGTGAAGGCTGTTGTTCCCACTCGTACTGTTAAAAAGCAAGCAGTTCTAGACTCTGTCCTCACCCCCAGTATGGAAAGTTTAGCTTTCCCTGAAGTCAGCATCATTTGAAAAATATTTCAGGAATGACAATTATCCCACATCAGCTAAATTAGACCTGGTAGGACCCGCCTTACTCACAATATTCTGGGAAATTCTGTCACCTAAACTTTGCAAAAACTACATAAAAAAGCTGAATAGAGAGCTCCAGGAAAAGGACAGCCTCACAGAATGGAGAACATATTTAGTGTTCTCCTTTATTCTCAAAGCAAAAGCACCCATTTCTCCACACATTACCCTGCTGCTTTAGATCTTACATTCTAGTACAGCATCTTTTCATTTTCTTTTATTCTATGACTCTCTGGAGTTCATGAAGCAGTACATCAGTACCCAAGATATTCTGAAATCTTATTTTAGGTCATCTTTTAAAGAAAGCTTTATATGCCCTGGAAAGTAACAGGAAAGGTTTCAATATCATTTTGATGTTCTTGTATTTTAGACAAGGCCTTAGGTTTCAAAAGTATCAAAAAATATCTTTACCTTGTCTTTTTTCGAGTTTATAATGAGTTTCATGATGCACAGTGCAAAGTATTGGTCATGGCTCCACTGGAAGGAGGAATTGCCATTGTGCTAGAGACACTAAGGCTGCTAGTTCTGTAGTTTAAGTCAGTGGTCTGAAAACTGTAGTTGTACAAAAAGAAACCAATGTAATATGAACATGTCAATGGTCTCCATTTATTTGGTACATTTCCTAGGACATAAATGTATGTCTTACTACACGGGGTGGTAACTACCACTGCTTGCCATTGAGGCAATTCTGCCTCCCTGCAGCACATGCAGCATTTGTCTATGGAGCCTAGGAGGTGGTCACGCTGCAGCATTGAGTCCAACCAAGGGAGAACTGTCACACTTCCTTGGACACCTCTCCCATACCAGGAGATGACTGCCTTAGTTAAATTAAGAGTATCTTGCTGAAATACCAAAAGGGAGCAGGACCACAGCTTGCCTCGCCAATATCTGAACATCTACACCTCCACTGAACATTGCCAGGTTTCCAGGTATCAAACATCAACACCAAATCTTGCAGATTGCTCCTTCACTGCAAGTTCCACCATCTTTGGGAAGAAGAGCGTGTGTCCACACCCCACCTCCTCTAGCCTGTTGTTCCCACCAGCACAAAGCCACCTTCCACAGGAATATACACTTATAGTGACAAATCAGACCAGGTGACTGCACCCACAGTGCCTGTCAGATCTCTCCTCAGCCGCAAGCTGATTTGTTTCTTCCGTGCTGGCTTCCAAGCCTACTACCTGTGTTACAGCATATGCTGAAAAGGCCTTTGTTGAAAGCTTCGACCTGGAACACTTTCCTCCTTCGCATGCATTTTGGTCCACCATTGTACTGTATCTTTCAGTTTGCTCTGCAGTCAGCTCAGACCCTGTTCTGGCAAACACACATGCTACTCACAGCACCATGCAAACATGAGTGATGATGTGACTGATATCTGTTACCTGGGACTCCTGACACCAAATCAGCCACCAGTTGGTATTTCTTATATATAAAGAAGAGTATGCCATCTTTTAATTGCAATTTCTTTATCTTAACTCTTAAGAAATGCCTGTTCTCTCTAAATTTGAGTAGATCCAAACCAATCTACCTGAAACTTCAGATACAAGAAAGATTTGACGAATACAATGCAGAATCGAGATAACTTTAGATAGAAAAAAAAATAGAAAAAGGAAGCCATTTTAAAAGTAACTCCTAAAAACATAAAAAATAACTTAAAGGGGTAAAAAAAAAAATCTGACACTGCTCTGCAATGATGAGTGTCACCAGTCCTGTGCTACTACACTGTATGAACCGTGTACATTAAGTGTTACCTTTAATGGAGAGAAAGTATTTCCTCCTGCAGTCAGCTTACAGATTTCCTACTAAAACCACACTTCTTTTCAGCCAAGATGCAAAACCCAGCGAAAAATAGAATAGAACCCCAAGAAACATAGAATGGAAAATTCTAGCTGTTCAGGACAAACCCACCACCACCATCACCAAAAAGCCACATAACTTGTAACAGCTCCTCACACAAACAGTGCCATAGCCAAGACTGTAACTCACTCAAACACTGACAGAACAGACCAAAGATAAGACACCCTCGAGGTTATGTATTTGAAAAAAGCAGAACAAAAACTTCCAAGTTATTTCATATTTCAAAGGTTTTATAGCTCATTGAATTAATAAAATATAATCCAGAGAACAGAGACTACAAAACTGAGTATACTTTTAATGTGGAGTCTATGCTACTGGAATCCAGACACCAAATGTAGTGATGCTGGGGATTTATATTGCAAACCAGTCCTTCTCATACACAAAATCCAACAGTTGCTCTTATCTAGAACTGGAATAAAAAGTTCTTTCTGTGAAAGTTTGTGAGGGCAACTCATATTGCAAAAGCTTTAGTAAGCCATTAAAATTGGCCACAAGCTGTTCACACAATTCTTTCTTTATATCCATGTACACATCCAACCTAGCAGTGACCTCTGATACGTTTTGTGGTTTTCTCCCCATGTTTCTTCTATAAGTAGCTCAAAATACTCACTGCTTACTTTGCAATGTATGGACACCAGAAAATGTTATTTCATACTGGCTTCCACAAACCTTGTGCTGGGAAATATTTACAACTGGGCAAAGATACAGCAAAACAGAACTGTTGCTTTAAATATCTGAATGTTTTTCTTCCAGTTCCAAAAGGTAAAATATTTTCACATAACAGTCTTATCTTCTGACGGACTACTGATATTTTCCCAAAACTTTCTCAAAGCAAAAACACACTTGAGCTACTGGCTGTGGCTTACACACGGCACCAAGCACACAAAATTCTGGTGGTATAAGGAGGAATGCACTGACTCCACCACCAAAGTCACTATAACTGCTGAAAACAATGTACTGTTAAAAAAATACTTGGGACATCCATGGCAGAAGAATATCTGCTTTGGCAAAGTGTGGCTGTAGGGCTGAAAGCTCTGGGAAAAGGACACTTCAGTCCTTGCTCTCTACCAGCTGCCACGGCCAAGATTTGCTCATTCACTTCCTATAATGGCCCTTGGAAGGGTTCCACTGCTACACAAATACAACATCCTCTGCAACCCAATAAACAGAGGCTGATGCCAAGGATCTCATTGCTGCTGTCTTTTCTCATCCAGCTCCTTCTTTCCCATCGCAAGTTTATCATTCACTACTTATTTTTCACTTTGTACTTTGATTCTAGTCCCTGTGCATATATTTGAACTATGCCCCTTCAGCTGTTTTAAAAACACTCAAATTGTCTCTTTAAAAAAAGGTCTTAGAACCTGAGTTCATTTACATCAGTCATACTAAGCCAATAGCTACAAAATTAGGGGGTAGGAACAAATACTAGTGTATTTTACTTTGGCAGAGTACTCTGTAGTTAGTATTGACCTTTGTTGTTCCAATATACAGTTAAACCACAAAAAAAGAAAAACAAACAGGGCAACACCATGTAAATATAGAATGTCCCCGTGAAGTGAGCAATTGATAGGTTCTGGGCAGTAATTAACTGGAGGAAGACTTTTCATTTTAAAACAGACAACGGAAAAGTTCAGCTGTCCAACTTCTTTGATATTATCCTCTTTCTAGTACTATAGTTCAAGATAATTTTAAAGAGCATTGGAAGAAAAATTTTTACTGTAGTTTTCAGTGGGTAAGTTTTAGAAGAAAAAAAATAAAGCAAAACAAAAATAAAGCTTTCAGACAGGAGCTTTAGAATTCCACTCAAATGTCTACAAACTATGAATTTACTATAAAATGGTAGCTCAGAATTCAATAGACTGCACAACTAATTCCTAGTCAGAACATAGCCTACTTGCTAAAAAATAAGAGAAAAACCAGGAAACTGTAATACCACCAGTAGAAGTAAGAAATATTCATGATACAAAAACGTGTTTAACAATACATATGTTGCAGCCCTCAAGGATAGTGTTTATTTTTATCTAATCACAGTTACAGTTTGGCTGCATTGTTTATTTTTTGTGCGGTTTTTGCCTAGCTAATGAACATCTGGTCCCAGACCAATTTAAAAAAAAAAAAAAAAAAAAAGTGACACCATTTCACTATTGACACTTCTAAGCTTCATTACTTAAAAGATTTCAAATCACATACTTACAAGAAAGTGACCTAGGAAGCCAGAAATCCAGAACATTACATACAAAACATATTTTCTCATTATATACAAAGCTTACCTCTCCAATCCCCCACCATGCTTACACTCTACAAGGCAGTGTTCCCAATTCTAACCTGTAAGAGCAACAGATATGCTGGAGTGGTAAGAAAAAAAAAAGCACATTTCTCAGTATATTGAAATACCTGGAGAGAAGGCTTTGCACTTGAAACTTCTGATTTTATTTCCCCTTGGACATATCAGTAATTCAATAGTTTCTTAATTTGATAGTTCCTCAGATAATTTAATAAAAAGGTTATTTCTCCACAGGAGTCTCATTTCAGGGTTTTTTCATTATAAATATTGCCTTATTGTTTGAGACAGGCCACTGGAAGTTCACAGACACAATCTACCTCCTCATAGTGTTCCCTCTTCATTAGACTGGGATTTGCTACAAAGACCAGAGTCCCATCTACTTCCACATTCTGTCTTTCACAGCAACTCATAGCAGAAGAGCTTAAGAGTGATGCAGCCACAACCTGATAGTTTCAAGGCAAGCTCTACCAAATTCTTGTAAAGCGCATATCAGTATCTTTTTTGAGACAGCAGTAGCATCAGCCTAAGCAGACCACATGGCCCCATCCCTCCTGCTGTGATTTTATCGTGTTATTTTTAAGTATGTGAACTTTTAATATCCACAATACCTTATGGCAATATATTTTACAGTTTAAATGTTCACCATGAAAGAAATAACACCTTTTTTTTTTTTGAAACATGTTATTTTCATTTGATTTCCTCATACTGGTGAGGTAGCAGTCACTTAAGATTTTCCAAAAGACTTGTCCCCACCCAAGACATCTTTAGCCTGGCTGTCCCAGTCTATTTAATCATTCAAAAACTATTTTATGCCTTCATTCATTTCTGTTGCTTTTTTCTTTACCTTCTTTACAGCACATTACAAGACTGCCAACGTAAGCAGGCTGCTCAGGGTGAGTACTTCAGCTCTAGATAGCATGGGTATTAGTACAAGCAGATGGAGACATCCATGGCATGTAACCACAAATGCTTGCACTACAACAGGCACTGGGTGTTAACAGATCCTGTTCAACCCCTTATTAAACTTGCACCTACTTGATTTTTAAATTAGTAAATTAAGAGTTCTAGGTGCACTCGGGACTTCTTTGTTGTGTTTAAAAGCCAGGGAGTATAGCTTAGAAAGCATGTACACAGTTCTAAAAGTAACTATGAAGGAACACTTCAGGCTGTATGAGTGCAAAAATTGAATTGAAGCATTTATTTTGCAATGCTTTTAACAGAGAGACTGGAAGATGGACCTTTCTCAAGAAACCACAGAGCTACAAGTGCGAAACATTTCTGAGAGCACAACAACAGACTATGATTTAGCCTTTCAGTGTTATTGTAACTTTGGCACAAGAAGTACTAAAGTGTTTCCCTTCTCAACCTCTCATAAAAAGTCCAACTTTCCTTTTATTATCCTAAGCCTAAATTAGGAAGACTGTCCTGACATTGCCATATACTGTGCTAGCACAATGCACTGACTGACACGCAATTTACAGAGGCAAGCCAGCCCTTCTCTTCGCAAGCTTGTTCTGACATAAGAAGAAAATGGTATCTGTAAGAGTGCCTCAATATAGCTGCATCTACATTAGTGGCTTTTGCCAGAACAGCACTCTCTAGCACAAATCCCATTTTATCACAATCAACATATGCTGTAAACAGTAAAGAGTTATAAAGTACTCCTCAACATAGAAGTTCCAGCATGATTAATAACCTAAAGTACGAAGCTGCTATACTCCCAATCATTTGAATACATCGAGTTGAAACATAGCCAGCACTCACAGCCCAGCAACTCCAGAGTGTTGGAGTAACTCCTCAGTTGCATCAAGATTTCCAGCACTGACCCAATCAGCTGTCGTGGTTAGTGTAATACTTGTGGGCCAAGATCATCACGGACATCTGCACATACAAGCCTTTCTGTTACTGTAAGGTCTAGAGTCCATTCTGGTACGTACAATACTTAACCACAGCCAAGCCAGACCTCATCCAAAGATCATTTATTTAGTCAAATAACAGGACAAGATGTGGAAGAACAAAGTACTATCACACCCATTTTCCAGAGTAGTGTCTTCAAAAGTCATACTTTTTTTTAAGAGCCTGAAATATGTAATGTAAAAATTTAAATTAGTATTTTTGGAGCTAGCTCCTCAAGAGATTTTAAGGATAAAAACAATATTTGTAGGATTAGCTCAATTGATAGAGATCTTTTGTAATTTTTTCTGTTGAATTAAATAGGTTCATCCTTAGGACAGAAGCTCCAGGAAAGGGAAGGATTTCCTTACCCTACTGGGCAGTATCATTCAACCACTTGACATCTATTACTGCCTTCTCATAAAGTTGAATTTAAGGCTGATTCAGGGGCACTGAAAGAAACAGCTGCAACAGCTTAAAGTGTTTCCTCCCCTTACAGTTCCATCCCTGATTGAAAAGATAGCACTGCAGGAGTGGCCAGAAGATACATGCACCTAACCTCATCCATGCCATATCAGTTAGGAGGATTAGATTAAACAACAAACAACAGATAATACTGAAACACAATAGTCTGAACTGTTCTATACACACAGGACAAAGTGTACTTGCAATCGTCTTGGCACTGGATAAGATTTTTGCAAAGACAAAGAGTCTTCATAAACAAAGAGATCATTCAAACTATCTGCAGATAATATGGTTAGAATTTCTTTTGCATTGCTACATATTCATATTATCAGAACTTGCTCTTTCAGCCCAGTTTCTCCTTGATCCTAAGGGTAACCATGGAAAAGGCAAGGTCACGAATTCAGCACTATAGTTGCTAATACTGAATGAAGAAACCAAAGGGAAATTGAACCTAGGGGAAAAGAAATCCTTGATTTTGAACAGCAAGAGCCTGGGTAAGCAGAAAACTCCCTGCATTTGTTCTTAAAATAGGTGTAGCTGGATTACATCAGACACTGGACCCTATTTTATAAAAGGTGCTTTTCATAAACCTGCAATTCCTCTCCAATCCTACTCTAACTTCAAAATAAGAAGTTGTTTGCACTGAATGATGCCTTAGGAAGGAGTGTTTTACTGGACCTTTCCTGAGACATGGGGAGAGCTGGTGTGGTTTTTTTTTTTGTTGTTTTGTTTTTTGTTTTTGTTTTTTGTTTCCCTTGCCTTAAACATACCCTCATACACTCCTGATGCACCCTCCTGATCCCATACATGCCAGTGTCCGGAAGACAGTAATTTTGATTTCTCCAGAGCCACCTTTTACACGATGCATCACCAAGGGAGGAACTCAAGCACAGGATGGGATTCGAAAACTTGACAAGTTCCTCATAGACTATCTTGGAGGACTTTGTACACTGCCATTAAACCCTGTCTATCCTACTAACCCATTAATGTCTTCAGCCTAAATCAGTCCAGATTTGTGACACAGATTTTTATTTTTCAGAACTTCATGAAGATTTGGTCTGCCCATTCACACCAGCATGCTTTTTTCTCACCAGGCCTTCTGCCCTGTCAGAGAACACTGTCATTTTCCTCCAGAGATCCTTCTTGTCAATTCTAACAGGGCAATTATAAGCACTTTTTGAGGTTGAAGTTTTCTGTACCATTGCAGACATGCTAAGTAACTGCAGATAGTTTTATCCATGCAATAAGTTCTTGATATTGGGCTGAGGGGTTTTTTTGTCGTTCTCAACAGTAGATTATTTCACTCTATCATTATAAGTGTCTCAACTGTGAGACACAATAAGTGTATGTGAGAGGCTAATATATCTCAACACTGAAGACTGCACAAGGAATAGTAACACTGCGGCTGCACTGCTGTAGTTATTAACAGACTTAGAACACAGCTCACGTAACTTCAGTTTGACTCAATAAAGACAGATCTCGCAACACACACCCCCAGCCATCCAAGACACAAGGGTTCAGACTAAACTGGCCACACATTTCCACATCCTTGGAGGGAGAGAGATACTGACAAGGAGCGATTCGTCCACCACAATATGAAATAGCAGAACAGCACCTTGATCTATGTACTACAAAAAAACCCCAAAGGCACTGCTAGGCAAGGCATCCGTGTTCAGGGCAAGTCAAACATTGCCTATCAATGAAATTAATCATAGCCATGATGATGAAATAAAAGGCTCTGATAATCTGGAGAAGTTATGCTCTCACAGCTTAAGTACTAGGAAGATAAGTATTAGTGTTTTAGCGCTAAGTCAACAGAACTGCACTCTTAAGTCCCTGAACTGATAGAGGCAGAATAGAAATTAGAGGAGCGAGCTTATTATAAATAGCTGCAAAATAGATAAGTTTCATAAAGCTTCCTAGGATCTAAAAAACCTGGCTGCTGTTAGCATAACTTATTTCTGACAAAGTAACCTACTATTCCCAAAGAGAACAGCAGTTTCCAGACTCACTATCTGGAAGAGAAAAGATGTTTTCTCTCCCTGATTATTAAAAACAGTAAGAAGGGTTGAACTTTTTCCAAGTTAAATAGAAACAATTAAGTTCCAATTCTGTATTTTCTTGCTCAAAGCAGCTCTACACCCTCCCTGTTCCATTTTCTGCACGCACCATTCATATACATCTACTGTACTTGGGCACAATGTAGCTTAAAATTAGCTCCTCTGAAACAGTGATAACCCTATTCCATCCACATAACGAGAAATCTGGATGAGTTTCCACCTGTTGTAAAAAGCACACTTTAGTTCACTCTCTTTCAACAGATACTTTAGGCTACCGAGACACAATACACAGTCCCTGCGAAGCCAAGAGACATCTTTCACTCCAGATGCCGGGACGCCTCGGTGTCCCGCAGCCGGCTGGCAGCACGACCTGCTCCCGCAGAGCTCTTTTTTGCGCTCATCTGCCCTGCAGCCAGCCCTGATGTGGCTCCCCTCCAGCCACCCTGCCCTCCATTCAGCACCAGAGAGTAAAACCAGCGGGGCCAGACTTCTCATTCCCTGCGACTTTTTACCCAAAACGTTAACGAAAGGCATTGTTTTTAAAGAAACAGACGGGTTTCGCCCTCTCGGATTCCTGCCTCTCTCAAGGAGGGCGACGTGCCGGTTTAACACCCGTTTTGGAGCCCACTCCCCAACCCCGGGCCAGGCATAGCCGGCACGGACGGACGGACCGACGGACACTCACTCTCGGAGTCGCTGAGGCCGCTGCCGTCGCTGACGCTGGCGCTGCTCCGCCGCTTCATGCGCTCCAGGTGCTCGCCGTAGTAGAAGCGGCGCCGGCCGGCGGGGCAGGAGAACTCGGCCAGCACCGCGTCGAACTCGCCCAGCGCCTCCGCCAGGCCCCCGCCGCCGTCCTCCCCCGGCCCTGCCGGGCGGCAGCAGCGCCGTCAGACCGGGACGGGCGCTGCCCCACCGAGACCCCCGCCCGCCCGCCCCACCGAAGGGAAAGAAAAGAGGAGAGAGGAAGGAGGAGGAAGGAAGGGGTCAGTCCCGCCCGCCCCCCTCGTCCCGCCGCTCCCACCTTGCCCCGCCGGCCGCTGGGCTGCAGGAGACTTCATGGCGGCGGCGGGCAGAGATGCCCCAGCGCCGCTGCCGCCTCCCGCCGCCAGCATGAGCAGCCCGGCCCCGCCGCCCCTCTCTTATGGCCCGTCCGGGCCGTGCCGAGGCGGAGCGGGGGGCGGTGCCGCGGGCGGTGCAGGTGCGCCCTGCGGGGCCGGGGCTCGGCCGGAGCGTGCGGGCAGCTGGAACCCCGCTGGAACCCCGCTGGTAACGCAGTCACCGCCGGGAGGCGTCGCTTCTTGTCCTGCACCCGCCGCCCCGGCAGCGGGATGGGAGCTTCTCCAGGGTGATGCCGGTGCGCTAACCTCGGGGCCGGGTGTGTGCCGGGCTGCTGGAGGAGGGAGGATTCAGCGAGCGTCAGAGCCAGCTGCAAGAAGGGACTCTCACGGGAACACAAGGCTGGATCATCCTCACCCAGCCCCGTGGCTGCTCCCGACCGAGGGCACGCAGCAGGACGGGGTGGCAGCAGCTCACTCGGAGTGAGCCCGTGGCTTTGCATGCAACTGCTGCTCGGCCACCCCAGGAGTCCCTTCCATCTCCATCCCCATTTCATTGTGCTGGCATCTGTCCGTGGTTATTGCCCTGCTCCATAAGTTAGTGAGCAGTGAACTAGGCCACGGGGCAGCTGAACCACTTTGTTACAGAGGGTGACCCGAGGAGAGGAGCAGGTGGCAGTGGAAATGTAAGGAATGCTCAGGCACAGGGAGCCACGGCTCCAGGTGCATCAGCCAGGGCGTTCTCTGGTGGAGTGCTTTCCTTGTTCTTAGGAGAAAGATATTAGCACTTGTCCTGAAGTCAGGTTAATCTGATGTTTATACATGCCATAGCTACGGAGTATTGCTCTTGTGCTGTCTCTTGCTTGTTTTAAATGAAAGCTGTCTGAGCAGCAAAAATACCAGTTCTGTTAAATACTCACTGGGGGAGACTCTGTCATATTTAGTTACATCCAGAAATACTGAAAACAGACACCAGGTGCTATTCCACGAGAATGCATCGGGAGCTATAATTATACTTGTGTGTTGATGAGAATATTTAGAGTTAGAAGAGTCTGGGACAGGGAGAAGGAAGGAAAAATGTGTCTCCAAAACTTTTTGACATTTTCAGACATGCTGTCATTGCTCCTGCAAGATACAAAATGAGAAAAACAATATTCTAGACAATAAAACAGATTTGTTCACCTCTCTTTACTGGCTGATATAGAGGCATTTATTTATTTTTGCAGTGAATCAAAAGAAGTTCTCATGGCGAAGTTCAATTGTTATTTATTCTGTGGCTTCCTCCTCCTTTGTGATCTTCCTCTGTTTTTCTTTCTGCTAATAAAAGTGGATACAAACAATCCTTTTTAAAGACCATAGTGTCACAGATGGAAAGCGAGGTTAAAAAGTGGGGAACAAGGAGATACGAGGGCATGACGTCAATAGCACAAGTAGGACAAAAGACAGTAGACACGAGGCAGAAAGGAGAACTGTTGAGTACGTGACTAGGTAGAACTTATAGACCAAAAAGACAAGGGCCTGGCCCTGCAACAGATGTCAATTCTCTCTTGCTCAAGCATCTACATGTATGATCAGCCCCACCTGTCCACACACATCCCTGCCAAGCACTGGTCCCATGCTTGGTCTAAAGATGTAACTTAAGGGTAAAAGATGTTTGAGGCTTGAATCTATCAATTTTGTGAGGAATACAGGCAAAATAGCCAAAGGGTAGAAGTCCTCCTGTGCCTTTCCTGTTATTTCTCATAAAGATGGTCAAACAATCTCACAGCTTTTTGGAATGGTGTCTGAGGTCGCATCGTAAAGAAAGAGCACAAAGGGGGATAAAAGAGTACAACAGGGCTTGAGTTGCTTGGGGCCTTGCTGCCACAAAAAGGGAAATGACCTGCCCTGCTTCTCCCTTTTTGTACTCCTGGCCTAGACCTTTTGCATGTGCTTTGAGCAGGTTTATCTCATCTTCTGCTGAGCCAACTCAACATGCTAGAACAGCAGAAAACTAATCTGCAAGAAGGTAATTTTCAGTTGAACTGAGCTGAATGGGCTCAGTGCAGGGAGCTAATAAAAGTAAAGAGTGGATGGGTAGAGGGAAAAATAATTGCTTCCTTGTAGTAATATAAGAATTTATCCCCATTATTATCTTAAAATTATTATTTTACACTCAAATTGACATTTTCAGAATAATTTTTAGACATGATGTAGAAATTATTCCATAAACTTCCATTCTTTACAGTCACATCTTTGGGAAATCTTTCCTCAAAGACAACCTGGGCTTAAAAATCCTTGGTCATGTTTACTACTGCATAGATGAGTCTTTTAACATTTCTTTCAGTAAATACTTGAGTTTTCTCCTAAGCAGCCTTGATTCTGCTGAATGCAACTCAGACTCAGCTGGTGAGCTTTAATTTTCCACATAAACCATTAGCTTTATGGAAGGAAAGTTCCATGTCTTAGGCCATGCAGCCATGCACATCCATAAATATTCTTGAAAGGCTCCAACGTGCTCCTGCTGAATTAGCTGCGTTTTTGTCCCTAATGCCAACAGGAGGAGCCCACATCTGGCAAAACGAAGAAGTCACTTTTGAGTGCAGTGCCCTGAAGCACTGCAGGCAGACACGCCTGGCTGCTCATGTTTACTGGGAGAAACATCCAACACAACTTGTAATGTAAACCTCAGCTACTGAATCCCTCCCATTTTCTAGGACGCTGTCCAAGCTGTATTTAAAGTGAATTTCTTCTTGACCATTCAAAGCAGTGTCTCCAGATCCTGCCCAGCTGGTGACGCAATGTTTACAGTGGTTTCCTACTGCATTTTTAACCTCACAAACTTGTAAGCCACACAGCTATTTAAATCAACAAATCCTGCCTGTAGGTTTGCCTCAGGGAAAGACTTTTAAAACAGGCACTCTGATATAACCAAGTTGCAAGGCTCACAAGGTACTAGTTTTCTAAATGAAGCAGTAATTTGGGACACCAAAGAGAATCCTAGGAGGGGTTTACAGAGGCATTGGTGCTTTAGGTTGACTAATCTAGTGGCTTTCAAACCATGACCCAGAAATGCTTACAGATCCACGAACAACTTCCGAGGCATTCACTTAAGGCAGTAAATACAAACAGGAATAGAAATTTACTGGAAGCAGTTTAAAATTCACAGGATATATGCAGTGCCATATGCACATACACAGAAACTGGAACTGCAAAAGGGGGAATCTGCAAGTCCAAAATGGCTGAAAAGTTTTTGTCTAATGAATCATTTATTTTCACCACTTCAAAGAGCAAGAATACCCCAAAATATCTTTCCTGTTGAGTAAGCACCATGTTCCCACAGTTAAAAGCAGATGTTTTGTGAAACCTAAACCTGTCTTCTCACTGGTATCGATACTAGACAAAAGACAGAGTGCCAGATCCCTGCCCATGGAAGCAGCCTGAAGTTTTGAATAAGTCTTTTAATATTTATTAGTCTGTGAAAATAATGATTCTTTACAAAAGTATCAGTACCAAGTTGTTAAAGTAGACACTAAATTTAAAACCTGGGAATGACAAACAGCCCATCATCACCAAACTTTTGGCTGAAGGAAAGCAAGGGAACCAAAAATTTAGACATCTGTGGAAGAGAAAAATGAAAACTGCCAGAGGATGAAAAAGCACAGGTGTCAGCCAGACTGACACACAGAGAAACCCAACTCCTTGGGCCACAGAGCAGGAATAGACCAAACATCATCAGTATAACTTGTCTCCCTGTTCAGCACATCAGAACTCCGCCCTTGAGATGCTTGTTTGAAGGGAGACAGTGGTTAACACTCCAGCCTATTTTATCCTTCACGCTGCAAGTGGAATTGCCTATGTGAGTGAATTGCTAAACTTGTTCTGTAGTGAGGAGAGCTGTCTAATTAAAACTTGGCTGAGATGAGCCATGCATTTTACATAGGCTACCTAACTACCATCCAAGGTGTTCTGCTTCGTTTGCTGACAGCTGGGCTAAATACAAGCCTGTAGCTTATACAAGCTACAGGCTTGTATTTAGCCCAGCTGTCCTGTAGCTCAGTCCACAACGCCAGTAGGAAGAGCGAGTGGCTCACAGCAATAAAATCACCCTTGAAAAACTGGCAAAATAATAATAAAAAAAGCCCTTTTGCCAGAGATCTTCCACAGGATCTTTCCCAGATCTTTCCTCTTCTCCCAACCTGTTCTGCAGACCTTAAACTGAGACCTGAAGTTACTACAAACTGATGCAATTCCTTTTGGTTTTCTCTCTCCCTCTAATACAAACTCATGGACCTGCTCATTGCCACTCACAGCTGTAGCTTTGTGAACAAAACATACATCTTCCTGCTGAATTCTGCCAAAACCTGAGTTCACTACCCTTCTAAATTTTCTGCTTCTCAAATTAACCTCCTAAATGTGAATACAACATAGCCCATACAGTTTTCTGTTCCTCTGTCTTTCAGTAATTCAAGGCAGAAGCTCTTGGATTTTTGAATGGATGCTATTAAATAAGTTGTTGGCTCTGAAACATGTTTATGGCAGGTTAGTTTCAATCACTATTGTTGCAGCTGGATTAAAAGCCCCTGAAACTGATAAAGTGTAATCATAACCTATATTGACATTTCTGGAATGATGAGTTGAGTGTGAGCTTCTGTCCACAGCAAAAAGGTATGGAAAGCTACTCAAGAATTTGAAAGTTCTGAGTCAAGGGACTTTGGCTGAGCATTACATGGGAAAGGGAGAGAAGTCCAGGTAAGGAGAGGGATGATAGTTAGTAAGACATAATGAAGTTTCAAAATAACTTTTTGGTGCCTTTTTCAGAGAAGATGAAAGGAATAGTGTCACTTAATGAAAAATACATTCACATTACCAATCCGACTTGGGTCCATAGTAATTTTGATGCAGGTCTGGTATTGCTTCCAGCTGACTTCTGTTGTTTTCAATTTCTAAGCATTTTTCTTGTGCATGAGCTGACTCCTTTTTCAGTGAAAACTGAAGAATGGAAGTGAAACTGAAATGGAAGACCATCCCAAATGTATTCTAACTCTACAGGAGACATGCAGGTCCCAATCAAAGGCTTGGAACTGAAAACATGAATGAATTTTCTTATATACTCAGCAAAGTACTCTCTAAATGCTCTTGGTATCAGCTCATTTTCTTCTTCACACTAGCG